AGCAGCACACCTCTCTAGAGAGTGTGTCCGGTCAGCAAATGGGTGCCTCCGTACCTCTCAGAAGAGAGTCGCCTACTACTATCACCCATCGCCTTTTCTTTGTTGCGCTGGTTGTTATACGGGGGACCGGGCTGCCTTACTCAGCTCCAGCATCTCTCCTGGTGTGTGATGCGTCGTTCCTCTGCAGTCTGCAGAGCGGTGAAGCGGTTCTGCAAGGGCACCTCAGGCTTCGGGGCAAGTCTCTTCCTCCTGTTGGTCCTTGCCGTTGCAACCGTCCATCCTTCTGCATTATTGGCCCCCCTCCCTTGTGTGTGTGCCAGTGGGGGAGTTTTTGGCTGTTTGGCTGTGGGCCTGCTGCAGGCTGTGTGTGGAACCAGCTATCTAACTCCTTCTCCCTGATGTTATGCAGCCTTCTCACTGCCTCCTGCAGCTCAGCCACCTGCTGCAGGAGGTCCTCACCTGGGCAACACCTTTTGCAGGCAGGTCTGTGCCTGTCCCTGCCCCAGGAGAGAGGTCCAGGCACTTCCTGCAGCCTGAGGTCTGCACTGCAGCCTCTCCCTTCAGCAGCTCTGTCTGGGTGGAGGCACTGGCCACGGCTGGGGTAGATGGTGCAGAGCCCTAGCCGGAGCTGTGGCCTTTCTTCTCAAATGAGTACCTGCCATTCTGCCTTGAGGGTCAGGTAGGATGAGTGCCCTTGACCTGTGCAGATGGTCACAGAATGGTGCCTGGTTGCTGGGTTATGTGTACTCTAAGTCTCCCACTCGGCCCATGGAATGCCCCTCCTGTGAAGAAATGAACTGCTGATCTGTAGATGGCTAGGCATGCTAACTCTGTCTCGTTCTTCTTGTGGCCTGTTAAGCTTGAGGCCAAAAGTCTGTTCAAGTGGGCTAGTTAGCCTTCTGGCTAGTTTGCTACTAGTTGAAGGGCCCTGTTCAGGAGGGGAAATAGGATTCCTGCTTTGCTTGAGACTAAAGTATGTGAATTTATAGCTCCTGTATTCCTTTCTGAGGCCCTTGGTGCATGGAGCTTAAGCAGGAGCAGAATCAGATGTCCATCTCCTTCAGTCAAGATTTAGCTGAGTACTAACTGAAGATTGTGTATAATGGGCACTGTGGCTTCTGCTCTGATTAGTGACCTTTGACATACTGCTTGTAGGTAGTCTCAGGAAAAAAATAACCCTATTGCTCTTGGAGGGTGGAAAAAAGGCAAGCAAGTTCTAAATATCCTAAGATGTTCTTCCATCTCATTTTTTCCCTGCATGTGGTCCACAGACAGCCAATTCATACTGATGCTAAAATAAAGGGACTTGAGCTCACTTAGTTTCCCAGAGTCTCCCATTTTAACCCTTTTTAGCAAATAAACCTGCAGTTATTTGTGTTGCTGTCTTTTGTAAGTAGAAATATTGCCTTTGTTCTAATACCTGTGTCTTGATTTTTGTCTGGATGCTATTTTACAGTAAGAATTACTACTAGAGGCAGATACAAGAACAAAAATATAAAGTCAGCAAGCATGCATCAACTTAAGTAAATGCTAACCTTAATCTACCTCTTGCACAGTCAAGAAGCTAAAAAACTAAAATCTTAACTTTTAAGAAAATATTTATTTTTAAAATTTTAACTTTGTTTGCAGAGTACCAGTTTGTTTTTGGTTTTGATGTGATGATTATAAGTGCACACAGTTTAGCACTAACCTTTGAAATACACGCTCATGTTCTGTACTTGAAGTTTGAGGCATACTCCTGGAAGACGCATATTTGTTTCTCGTTTGTTTATTAGGACTTGAAGCAGTGATCTAATTATGTACTCTTTCTTACAAAAGTCCAAAAGATACTTGTGAGCATTCTTGATGGACTTTGGTTTGGGTTCTCGCATTCTTTACCTAGAAAGTTTCCCTCCAAATCTGACTTCCTTGTGACTTGTAGGCATTCTGTTTTATGTCTGGAAGCTATGGTTTCAGATTGGTACGGAGGTACTGGTTTTCCAGCTCTTACAAAATTAGCTGTTTTGTCCCTGGAGATGCTGAAGAGTTACTCTTATTGTTGGACTTTAGATGAGGAAACTGACACAGGAAGCTTTCGACTAGGGGACTGTTCTACCTGACATTCTTCTGAGCACTCTTTGCTAGTCTCTGCTTATTGGAAGGTCAAAAATATTTAATGAACTTCTCTGCAGTTCAGTTCTCTGGGCCAACTACAGAACAAGGAATGGAATGCAGCAGAGGTATTGTTACTTTAGTTGTAATAATGGAAGATAAACATGTCCCTTTAAACTTTAATTCATGATTGGTGTGAGAATCATTAATTGTTTTATAAATCCACACTTCTGGAAGCTAGAATAAGAGAATTTGTCTCAATTGATGCTCAAAGTCTTTTTGCTCCTCTGCACATGAGTCAAACCATGATAGTAAATCAGATTAATGTATCTTTTAATAATGCTTGACTGTAGGGTCCTTACCTCTGTTAGGACTGGTAAATAGAAAATCACTTGTTCATTGACCTCAGACCTGACTCTGCATGCACTCGCACATGTACTCTGCTGATCTAAATACAGTATTTGAGGGGAATGTGAATAAAATTAAACATAACCTTCAGAATTTTTTAAACCTAATGTCATATAATTTTTCTTCAGGAATAAATGGATTTCTATTTTCTTAACTTGGAAGGAGAATTCTTTTGATATTTGACTAATTAGGGTAAATGAGATGACTTTTTTGCTTTGTTACAGTGCTTTTGTTCCTCTGGATATTCCCAACAAGAAGAATTCCACAGAGTGGGAGAAAGTGAAGCTCCTGTTTGAAGAATTTGGAAGTAGTCGTAAGTTCGAGATTTGTTTTGAGTTTTGCGTAACTTGCTACTAACTAATTTTGGCATACTCATCATGACTGAACAAGAAAACTAACTTTCTTGGTGACAGCTTTCTAACTTGACTCTAACTGCTCACCTACACTAAATCTTTGCAATAAGATTGTTCTCCTTCTGTTCAGACAAAAAAAAATCAGAACAGTCTTTACAAAGAGGAGACACTGGAAGTGACTGTTTTCAGTACAGTCCTCATTTGACAGCAAGGATTCCAATCTTATGTCTTATGATATTAATGGTGGGGAGGGGAAAGTACTTTCTTCCATGGAGTCTTCACTTAGAACAGCTTTAAAATGTTACTTGGATACCCTAAAATCAGTGAACTTCAGTATGGTAAGTGTGTATCTTGTATGACAGTTTTTGAGTGCTTACCTAATTAAATGTGATACTGCTGTTTGCTGTAAGAATGAGACTATTTCATAAGTGGCTTTGTCTATTTAGACAGGAAAATCCTATGAGTGTTATGATTTTTTCCCTTTGTTCTCCTAGTATTGACCTTTTCTAAAATTGTTTTGTTTGTTTGTTATACTTGTTTATGCTAGGACTATAAAGAACTATTGTGAAGGCCAAACTCCATGAAGTTGTATTTCACCTTTAGCTTATGCAGTTCATGTATCTAGCCAGGATGTGTTTTCAGAGCAAAGGTGTGAAGAAAGTGTTTTATAGGTGAGGCTAAGACTTGTCACTTTCCAAATGTATCCAGAAAAAGGTAACTAAAAGTTATCTAACAAACATAAATCCAAATGCATAAGTACTCTAATACTTGTGCCTCATTCTTGCTATGTATCAGAGTATTGGCTTCTGTCTGAATGTTTTAGAAAATAATGCTACAAGCCTTGGTCAAGTTGTGTTCTGCATTATTCTAGGAGTTTTGTACTGACTAAAAGTTCCCTGCAATGACACTTGCCAGCTCTGTTAGCACTTGGTGTATCCCTTCAAGGCCCATCAACTTTGTATGTCCAGCTTGCTTATGTATTCTCTAACCTGATCCTCTTCCACCAAGGGTACATCTTCCTTCCAGTGTTTCCCCCGGTCTCTCAGGCCCGGGTTTTCTGAAGTCTGGTCTTGCTAATAAAGACTGAGGCAAAGAAGGCATTCGGTACCTCAGACTTTTCCATGTCCTGTGTCACCGGGGTCTCTGTCCCACTCAGCAGCAGGCCCACATTTTGCCTCATTTTCCTCTTGCCACTTAAATACTTGAAGAAGCCCTTCTTGTTGCCGTTGACATCCTTGCAGTCTTTCATCATAGTACATGCTGTAAGCTGTGCTTGCAAGCATAGGAGATAGGGAGGACAAGTCTGTAGCTTTTTCATAATTTTGGCTGTCTGCTTGTTTGTTTCTCTTGCTTCACAAAGATTCTAACTGACAGCACAGAATAAAATGCTTCTTAAACTGTTTATACAGGTAGTGACAGTGGTTGAGCTGAGTTGTAAGCTAATTTTTCTAGGCTACCTTGATATGGCTGTCAAGTAAATGTTCAGCTCTGTACATGTCCTTGCTATGAAAGTGTAGTATAGCTAATGCTTATTTCTAGGAAGGCTTAATCATTAAGATGCTGGATTGGGATGTGGAAGTCTGGTTTTGATTTCTGACTCTACCAGCATTCTCTTGTGACTTCTAATTTCATAGGATAGTTCAATCTGAAGAGACCTCAGGTCATCTAGTCCAACCTCCTGCACAAAGAATGAAGCTGTAAGGTCAGACCAGGTTGCTCAGGGCTTTATCAGCTAGCTCTTGAAAAACCCCTAAGGATGGAGACACCATCTCATGGTGGGGAAAAAAAAAATTCTCTTATCCAGTGTGGGTATACACACTGTCACCCATTGTCTCACACTCAACTACTATGCACCACTGAAGAGGCTGGGCTCCACCTCTTTGATAAGCAGGCAGGCTATATTAGGTCTCTCCGAAGCTGTCTCTGTTCCCAGGCTGAACAAGCCTGGCTCCTTCAAATTCTCTGCACAGCATGTGCTCCAAACTCTGACCAACTTAGCTCTCCCCTTAACTTGCTCAGATTTATCAATCTTGCCTGTAGTGGGGGCCTCAAAACTGGTTGCAGTATTCCCTGTATGGTACCTTCCCTTAATAGTTGGGCATGCTCCTGTTGTTACAGCCCAGGATACTGTTGGACTTTGGTGCTGCCAGGGCACGCTGCTGGCTTATCTTCAGCTTGTTGTCTGCCAAGACTCCCCAGGGTTTTTGTAGAGCTACTCCACAGCTAGCAAATCCCCAGTCAGTATTGTTGCAAAAGGTTCTTTTGTGTTCCAGATGCTGGAGAAATGAGGACAAAATTCTTGCCTGTTGTCTTTACTTGTACCTGTTGTCCTGGTTTTATATTAACTTATCCTTTTCCTTTGTATTTCTGCAGTTAGCCCAAGAAATACGAAGATCTTAATTTTGGATGTTTGTTCTACGTCCATTCAGTTTGTAGGGGGATTATAAAAGGAATGCTAACTCATCCACTGAGGCAGAGCCTGATAATATACTTCTGCTATACAGTTATCAATTTTTCAGCCAGTTAGTTTCTTAATGTTCCATAGAATATAGTTCAAACTTTTAAAATGGGTATTAAATACTGGTTTCTAATACATGTACAGGAGGGTCATCAAATATGGTGTTTAAGTACATTGTATGATATATTAGAAATTCGGTCACTTATGTGTGGGTTTTTCCCCCTAAACTGCAGAACATGGGTAAAATTTTCACAAGTACTAAAGGGGGAATAGTGCTGTTTTTTTCAGTTTTAAACACAGCTGTAGTATTTGAAACTTATGAACGTATTGCTGTTAGCTTTGGGAAAGTTGTTTTGGTATTATCTAGCAAACATAGCAAAGGTCAGATTTGAGCTGTGAAGTTGGATTTGGTTGTGCTACTTTATTAGTTTTTGGCATTTCTGGAAGGAGGCATGTAGGGTTGGTAAGAAGAAAGATGCAGCTTCTCATAGAGGATAACTATAACAGGATTTCTTAGTTTGTGAATGCTCCACACTATGTTCAGGAAAAAAGAATGGAAACCAGCTAATGAATGGGAACTGGCTAATAATTCTGCGCAAGTAGGAATAAAAGTTATTGTGCTCTAAATTCTTGAATTAACTAGAGGGAGTACATGGGGGAGAACACTAAATAGTAGCTCAATTATGACTGGGTGCAAACATGAAATTGATTGCTTAAAATTAATTTCTTTAATAGCTACTATAAGTTTCCAAGCTACTATTTAACTGAAAAAGCTTGCCATGTTGTATTCTGTACGATGAGGTTAGGGACAGGGGTGTTGTGAAAAATTATGCAGGAAGGTTCAGGGAGTTTGCCTTTGGGGATGAGTTTGGTAATGCTTTTCTACTATCACTTTTCATTTCTAGAGTGATAGTAAGGCTGCAGTAAATCTGTAGTCCCCTGACCTTTTTCCAGTTTGTATACCTGGATGTATGTGGTCTGAGTGAAGCTGAGGCCCACAGTCGGGCTTGTTTGGTTGTTTGAAGGATTCATGCTTGCCTGATTCTCTGGATAGTGCTTTATTATGAGAAATCAAGTGATAACAAACAAAACAAAGATGAACCATCCAGTATGCATGTGTAAATTGTAAAAATTACCACAGTGCCCTGTGGAGGCCAGAAATAAGTCTTGAAGAGGCATTAGACAGCTATGGGAGCAAGTTCATTAGTGGCTATTCAACCATTTGACCGAATGCGACATCTGTGAACTTCTACAAAAGGTGAGGTGGCTGTCCTGCTTCTTGCAATATTGGAGGAGGATCTACTGCTGACAAAAAGCTGTGCTAGGTGCATTTTTCATCTGAGTTGTTATGGCTGGTAACTATGTCTCAATCTTTTTTCTTCAGTCTAATGAACTTAAATATCTTCAGGAAGCCAATTCAGGAAGAAATGTTCTTATACCTCTACTGTAGGAGTCTTCAACAGGCTTTTCTTTTTTTGCAGATGGCTTGACTGCTCTTTCATTTTCCATTAGTTCCTTGACTGTGATTGGAATGTTGGCAGCTATCACTTACACAGTAAGTTGTTATGCAAATGTTTCAGCTCTTTACATTAATGATACTTGCAGTTATCATGGGCTATACCTGTGTGGAAAACTGTCATTATGTTAAAAAGCTTCAACAGTGTCTTCTAGCTCTGAATTTTCATGGTTTGAAACACTACTTCTAAGTTCTTGGAATGAGAGGAGTAACTTTTTTACTGCAAGTTTAAGAACCAATGTTTCAGTACTCAAGCACAGATCAGACTTAATTTCAATGTGTTTCTGTAAGGGGAGGTCGCATTATTCCTTACAGCTGGTAACACATTCACTGGCTCCTCCTGTTTTTTAAGCCGCTGTCTCTTTCTCTATCCAGCAGCGGAGAACTAAATATTGCTTTTTAATTAATTGAACTATGGCATTACCTAGACTGACCAGACCAAGTCTATAATAATGAATATAACCTTTACTACAACTTTTCTACATTGATGTTTTTATCTCTACAGAGCTTTACAGTGAAGTCTGGCAGAATAACTTGGTTTGTAAAGAAGTATGCAAAATGTTCTCGACCATAACTGTCTCTTTTTGTAAAAGGCTGTTATTCATTCAGTAAATGAAAAAGCAACGTCTTTAACAAAGCATTGCTTCACGGTTCTGTATTTCTAGAATTTGAGTAAGGGTAAATATCTGTGCATGTCAGGATTCAGTTTTAGGTATGAAGAATCTGCAGCATCTTCTGTGATGTGTGCCTTAAATCAAGCATAACTAAAAAGGTAAAAGCAAATAGAGTTTGAAACTACTTAGAGGCTTGTTTTCTAAAGCCTTGGGAATATTCTTGTTAGTACTAGGCATGCAACTAAACTACTGCAGTTCTTTCTGTAGCTTAGAAGGATTTGAAGTGTTTGTTCTGTAACTGATTGTAAATCATATGATTAAGGCTATGTTAGTTCAACTGCTTGACTCTTGCTTTTATGTGCAAAGGAAAGGACCCATTTTAACTTAGGAGCTTTGGCCAACATTTGATGTTATGTAGTCACTTGCTTTTCCAATCTGTTCTATTTCTTCAGTCACTGAATAATCAGCCTGTTTGTAATGCTACATGTATTAACTTGTCATCAAGGTAAAATTTTGCAACAAAGATGAAGCTTTAAAGCTTAAGATAACTGCCGACAAAGCTTGAAAACTTCTTAGAAGTCAGTGTTTTCCTGATAGATTTTAATCTTTAAGTTCATGTCCTTGCTAAAATAACTTTCTCTTCCATTGCAGCCTGGCTCTAACATAGTCAAGTTGTTTGCATGTAGCTTTGCTAGTGAATTCTAAGTGGCTCCGTAACAAGAGCTCATGCAATAAGTTATTTTGAAGTATTGCTAGCCAAGGAGATGTTTTGTAGTAGCTTGTTGTTAGGCAAAGGATAAATGGATAAAGTTATTGTAGAACAAGGATATAAGAAAGAGGGAAGAGTGTTACTGGGTAAGGGGGTAAAGTACCTGCTAAATACTACCTTTAGACTCTTAAATCTAAATTGAGTAACCAACATAGCTAATTTTCTGTCTCTAGTGACTAGTGACTTCAGCTGGTGTAAGTTACAGCAGGATTATGGGAGGCAGTTCAATACAGGTTCTTAGATGTAAGTGTCAGAACACTGACAGCTCTGTGGTGGTCAGGCTCTGTGCAGTAGGTAGGAGAGCAATTTGGTGAATGAGCTAGTAGATATCTCAGGTGAGCTGAATTGCTCTTAGCCCCATTGACTAAGTGCTTTAACTTGACCTGAATTGTAAATTTTATTACTCTAAGCTTTTTCTGACTGACATGGGTCACTAAATCATACAGGCTATATTGCTGACATCTAGATCATGTACTGGTCAAAAAAGATTCGGACCTTTGCTTAGCCTGTAATATGTCAGCTTTTAAATTTGTTTCCCTTAATTATGGAAGGAAAGATTAATCTCTTGTTTGATTACATTACTGCAGAGCACATGCAGTGTTTTTTAACCTCCATGAGACTAACATTGAGAACAAACTAGTTAGCTGGAAGAATATCTTCAGTGTTTTGTTTTTTTCAAACAGCTACCCAAGTATGGCTTTTATAACTGTTAGTAAACATCTATAAGCATCTACAATGCAAGACTGTTTTATTTTGCACAAATTTACTGCTGACTGAAATGTAAATGTTTAAAAAGTAGCATTTGAAAGGTGGGGTTTTTAAATTTATTGCTAATATTCCTTACTTCTGATGTTATTTCCCTATTTATTTTTGAGTACAGATTGGTTGTAGGCACCATTCAGCTGAGTATCACAGTATGCTTCTGTCCTCAAAGCTAGCTGAACCTGGAAATATGTGACTTCCATTTCATGTTCAATAACTTCGGTGTGCTGTGTTGGCTGTCTGGTTTCTCAGATGAAGACAATACCTCTGTCCTCAATGTTGTTGCCTTAGTCTTACTTAAATACTTACTGTATTCAAGTTTTTTACAAATACTGGGTGGTAAATGAGGTGAAATATTAAGCATGAGAACTAAAATAGTCTTCTCAGAATGCCTTAATTGCTAAGATTTTAGGCTAATTTGTTGCTTTGAAAACTTCAACCGAGCTGTCCATGCAAATGCCTGGAGCATGGAATTAGTATTTACGTTGGTTTTAACTGCTATATTTGATCTGTCTGAAAATATCCCTTCTGTTTAACAGTAGGTGTTAAGCAGGGTGGGAGAAATGGAGGAGCTATTTCACAGAAGTTTTAGGGATGAGCTCACACAGGAGGTGGTTCTTGTCCACCTCTGATATCAGAGTGTTTTTGTCATTGTTTGCAGGCGATCATAGGGTCTTATGCTGAAACAGTGAGCTGGCTTTGATACATGGGTGGACTGAGGTACAAATGTGTCAAGAACAGTGAAAGCCACTTCCTAGAAGGTCTGTGTTCTCAAAGTTGGAGCAGGAATAGATTTTTTTTATGCTCTAGTGCTTTCATAACACTTTGCCCACTGCCAGTGGTGGTCAGGCTTCCATGTGTAAGCAATTTCTACCTGTAACAGCATGGGCAGTGCTGTTCTCATGGTCTGAAGAGTGAATTGCGAGTATGACCTCGGCAGCATCTGGATGCCATGTACCTGCATTCCAGTTTATATTGTGGGCTGGGCTTTTCCCAGTGGTACGACTTAATGCAAAAGTTACTTCAGTAGTGAAAAGTTCTTGGGCTGTCACGCTTCCCTAAGCCTCAGGGAGAGGTTGGCCCAGAGTATAGCCTCTCTACCAGTCTGGATTACTCGACTCCCTCTACTTGGGAGGAGGAGAAGCATGATTCTGGAAGGAGTAACTGTTTTTCTCTTGGTAACTTCCCTCTTTGTTGTGGGGTTTTTTTGCTGTGTTAGTCTCGTATAAAAAGAAAAAATCACCTCTAAATAAGATTAATGCATTAGTGCACAAGAAAGTCTGTGAGGCATTGTCTGAAACACTTGCCTCTGACTTTAGACATCTGACAAGTAGTTTGGCTGAAAAATACAGGAGCCTATCTTCTGCATGCCTATGAAATTGTTTGTCCCAGTTTCTAAAGGTGGGAGGCCTTTGTGCTTAGTCATCAAACCACTGTTTGATAATTCGTGGTAGATTTTAAGCACAAAAAGAGAATACCTTTATATAAGGGTGAACACAAGAACAAAGATGCCTACTTCAAAATTTTCCACAAATGCTTAGCAGATGATTGGAAAAAAGGGTAGAGAGAATAGATGGGGACACAGCGTGTGGCATCTGAGTTCCCTTGTCTCTGAACAGAGGTGATCTCAGATCTTTGGTTTATACTAGTTAGAATTGAGGATTTGTAGTACAGACATAACTGAAGTTTTTTAATGTTCCCCTGACTTCTGAATATCCTCAGTCTGTTCCATTGCCAGTGTTGCAATTGTATTGTTAAAGGGAAGCTAAGAACAGGTGTATCTGGTCTTCTGTATACTTGCTTTCACCTTTTTACTATAAAAAAAAAAATCTATTCTAAATGAACATCTAATGAAGGTTGTATTGTAATAAGTGGTATGTTAACAAATACTTTCATACCTAATTAAGAATGGTTTTACATTGAATGCCTACTACTTTAATACAAAATACTAAAAGTAAATAGGAATCCTGTGCCTGCATTGACTGCAGTTGACTGATTTCATCTTAATGTTATTTGTGGAAGAGTATTGTGAAACAGACGAATCAAGTGATTCAATTTAAGTTGCTTGGAGTACAACTTATCCATTCTACAATTAGTCAAATGTATGTTAACAGTGCTGCTTTGTGTAGCCTTCAGTGTGAAGAATTAGATTATGGCTGTTCTAAAATCACACTTCTGCATTGTGGTAATATATAATACTGTGAGAAGTTGGGGAAAAGAAGCTTTGGCACTGGCAGCAGGCAGCCTTGAATTTGAGTAGATACCGAGAGCAAAAGCTTGCTTCTGCATGTGTATGCTCCTAGGCTTTTTCTATGAAAGCATATTCTCCTGCTTCTACAGGAAGAAGGATGCAGGGGGGCTGTGTTCTTTAGATTGTAAATGGCTACAGTTTAAATTATGGAACTAACAAATTTAACCTGATGACTAATCTAGTTAAAATCTATTTTTTTAAGGAGTACTATCAGCATCGATCCAGTGTTCTGAGACTCTCTTAAGGCCCAGGTTGATTTAATGTATTACTCTGAAGTATATGGTGAGCTATTCACACAACAAAGAACAGACTACTTATCAGATGACACAATACTGTAATATTTGGTATGGTGTTTTTCTGTGGGGGGAGGGGGCAGATGAGGGACAACACAAATTGAAGCATCGTGCTGGACCAGAGTTGCTGACAACTGAGGACTTGTGTTACTGAGTATGATAGAAAGGTAAATAACACTACAGTTTGTAGTTGTCATTATATTAGCTTGCTGGTTGGTTTTCATTTTCTATGGCTTCAAACATCAAAATCGGTTCACTAAATTTGACTTAGTGATACATACAGAGAAGAGCTGTTCTTGTAGTTTGAGGGGAAAAATGCAGAATTTAGCTGTTGGGTTGTGAGCTTCTCC